ATAGTACACACGTGTGGTTGCACCTACATACAGCATCTTCAAAGAGACTGAAAACAGTTACAAGGTGCCAACTAACCACACGTGCATCGACATGGGGTTTGTAACCGATCACAGGACATCATGACGGATGGCACACTGACGGGCCAATCGTTGTTATGCACTTTTTCTCTTCAGTAAATGCAGGGATGGCAGGCATGGAGGAGGTAAACAGAAACTCCTAAAAGCCCTCTGTGCTGCACCAACCATGATATACGTTGCAGCCAGCAGATGGCAGCGGAGGACCGTCCGGCCTGCGCTGTGCCCCGGTTCACTGAGTCCACTATGACGCGGATTCCCTCCATCAGCTGCTGTCCACTTCTCTCTTCACTATTTCAGTGTACACTAGCTTATTACTAAAGTAGATTAGCTGCGTGAGGCCTTGTGTGAGTGTGCGCGTGTGTGTGCGCGTGTGTGTGAGGCCATAATTAGGAATTAATCTTATCATTTGAAAGAAAATTTCAATTTCCCATGGGTGTATTAATTGTGTATACATGTAATTGGGCTTCTTTTTCCAGCCTAAACGGACCTTTTTTCCTCCAACTTAACGGCAAGTAATTACATACATATATGGCTGTGCTGAGGCCATCGCTTAGCGACAGTGCCGTGACGTGAAATGCAATTTGAAGAAAAAGCTACCTGAATCACCTTTACTCCCAACAGACCCTCCCAGAATAATTATCATCCATAACTTAAAAGCGGCGCGTTTAATTCAGGTTCACGCCCACGCCTCTGCACAAAAAGATGCCTTGTTTCTCTTCACTATAATTTGCTCAGACCCCAATGGGCGCATGGTTCATTGTGGAGGCAGTTTCATGTTGCCGGCTACTTCTCTCTGAGCATGAAATTAGAAAATTCAATAATTTGGGTTGATTTAAGAATGCAAGGGGAGACTAAAGGGTCATATGCACATAGGTAATCAATACTCATTACCATTTCATTTCTCTCTCCCCTCCTTTCTCTTCTCCTACAATCACACGTGAATCTGATCTCACTGGACTGATTAAAGGCTGCAAATGAAGGGTCCTCACTCCCCGATTCTCATCAAAGGCCAACCACACGCTCGGTAACTTTGTCTTCATTTAATTCCAAGTTGTCTTCAGACAGGCCTCCAATTATAAGCTCGCAGTGAATCTCCAAAATAGCTCATGCACATTGACCTTTTTAGATTAAAAGTGCATTCTCCGTCTCTCATGGAGTCCCCCCCTGCACTCCGGTTTCACTACTAATGAACCGCAGTGGTTGGAATTTCTACTGCTGTAATAACTAGCATTAGAGGTGCGATGCTAACATAACTTGCTATAAAGGTGCCTCGGTAACAGTAGCGACAAGAGCCAACAAATCCAAGCTGGCTGGTGCCGAAAAAGCCATATTTTTGCTTTCAGATAAATCACCTATTTGACGTTGCGGGGATGAATATTTATGAACCAGAGGAGCCATGGAAAAAACAGATGAGCTCACAATACATTCGCTGCGAGATGAAAAAGCACAGAAGAGCAGAAGTTATAGATTTTTGATATGAGCCTACTGCAGTCCCCGTTGGCTGCATGGGAAGCTCACACTGTGCCGGCGCTGGCTGCAAAATAAACAGGAGTGAATCACAGGAACCGTTTCCAGACATAGGATAAGGGATTTGATCCGCCTCGCACACACCAGAGAAGCTCTGCCTTAAAACAAGTCCAGTGAGTCGCACTCCAATTTAGGCTTCCCACAATCCAGCGGGCGAGGGCTGAAATGCTCATCTGAGAATCTCCTCTTTTTGACAATTAAGACACCCATGGAGGCATGGAAAGCTCTCAGTTCCATTAGCCTCTGTGCCGTGTTTCACTCTATCTGTCCACTGAGCCTTAACTTACTTATTAGTACAAGTCTGCTGTATTTTGTTAGGGAAGCGATTAGTGAAATCTACATGAAAAGGCAATTCCCCCCCCTCTTTTCTTTCCCCTCACTCTCTCACACTTCATTGAGATCAGACAGATCTAAAGAATGGCATTTGCGCACTAATGAAATTCGCTCTGCATCATTTCGGATGTTAATCTGTGGACGGAAGTGACTTGTGTCTTTATTTACTCGTTTCTGTGTGACAAACGGTCAGAGCTGGCAAAAATTACATCGGCGCTGGTGTGTGGTGCACCCCCCCCCCACCCGCCTATTTAACCAAAAAGGCTGGGAGCATCGGCTGGCAGTCAGCTCAGAGACCGCAGCTCCTCTTTGATGTATTGGAGTTAATATCTTCCTGACATTTCTCAGGACAGATTTTCATCACTGGATTCATCTGTACTTTTGGGGCTATGTGATAAATGAGTCAGGACATTCATTTTCTTCTTCTCTGTTGCTTCTGTGGAGAAAAAGGCGTGCGCTGGATACAACCGTGTGTATCCAGCGTTGAGTTGAGTGCACGAGGTTGTACTGTGTGTGTGTGGGTGTGGGTGTGTGTGGGGTGTGCATGGGCCCGGACGTGCTCGTGACGTGAAATAGACGGCGGCATTAATGGAAGTGACATAAATTTGAGAGAGAGCGCTCACTAACATGCGAAGTCACTCGCAGTTCATAAGAATAATATTAACTCGGCATTAACATGCAAGGCTGTCTGTTGCACCAGATGCCGAGCGTTTTGGAGGGCGGGTGCTGCAAGCCTGTCTTTCTAGGCCACGAGTGGATCGTGGCTCTGGAGCGTGCACAACGAGAAAAGCCTCATTCTTATTGAGGCGGTGCTGACACACTGACACTGCTGCTGCGGGGAGATGCTTTGCAGTCCAGAACATTATCCAGCAGCATTCTCAAAATAGCTAGAAGCAACCTGATGGTGTAAGTTTAGGGTTCAGGCACAGACATAAAACCTGTTCGTCGATGCAGAGCAGATATAGCTTTGTCAACCTGATGAACTGCCAGCATGTCCTTGAGCTGAGCTACAACACACAGACACACAACACGCACACACATTTACGCGAATAACAAGCATAGCTGCTGGAAAAGCTGAACGCTATTTAGTCCCGGCCATTAACACTAATCAAAAACCACTTTACCTGATAAGAACTACAGGGGTCTTCTACCTGCTGCCGGCATCCGCATTTCTCTTTGCTGATACTGACTGGGTTTAAACAAGGTGCCACTAGCAGGAGCCATGAAGGTGATGAAGAGACACAGGTGAGAGTGCTAATTCGCAGCTAAGCGATTGAGAGATCATTATTTGCTGACCTGAACGATTACTCTATGATAGACTGCACAGTTCTGTCCCGCATTAATGCTTTTGTGTCTGTCCATGTAGCGCATGTGTGTCTTCGCTTTATGGGTCACAGCGAGACAAAATATGTAGCGCGTGACCAGGAGAGAACGTGCAGGCATTCACCTGAACACACACACACTCCCATACAGTATGGATTAGGCATTGACCACAGCTCATGAAAGATGCAGTTATGCAGATGGACTTGGGGTGAGTGAACACAGGCCAAAAGGGGGCTGATGTGGAGCAGCCCAAAGCTTCCCAGTCTGCTGAATGGGCAGCTCTTTCAGGCAACATAAACTTCCTGATATCACACTGGGTCACACTAAAATACAATAATGCCTAGTGCTCATTTCTAAGAAATAATGACACTGTACACAAGTCCCAAAAAT